TACAAACATCTTAGATTAGATATACAGGGTGCTCATAAATTAAAAAAAATACTCAAGAGAGAAGTACCAGTACTTATTATTTTACACAATATTTTTATACAACAAATCTGTTTATAACCTCAAATAATGTTCAAATAAAAATTTTAAAATCAAAATTTCAATTTTTGTGGTGGGAAAGTAGCTATACATATAGAGTAAGAGTCAGAATTGAAATTTTTAGTACTTAAATACTCAAGTTTTTAATATATTATTTTATTAAAAAAGTAAAAAACTAAAAAATCTTATTTTTTGCTTTCTTTAACATTGTTTATTAACGATTTTTTGCATAAAATTTTCCTTTTACGTTTTTTAAATAAACCATTTCGATGAGAAATTCAATTCTCTACAAAATTTTTCCTACAACCTATACCGAAATTTTGCTTCGTTTTCGAGCTATATTTAAAAAACTGAAAGGGGTGCATTTTCACTCCTATCTTCAATTTCAACCCTCTAATTTAATAGCACTCTGCGGTTTTTTTTTCATGCAATAAAATTGCTTGAACGTCATAGTTCCTTTTAACCCCGTTTTTTGGATATATTCAATAGCCTATAATAGAATAAACTACATTTAAGAAAAGCAATATTCTTCTTTTATTATAAGAGTACATTTGAAAAAGTTCAATTTAAGATGGCAGTATAAATGTATCTCTTAGAATGTTTGGAAGTAGTAATATAAATAAATATTATTTAAAGCTATTGATATCTACTGTTGGAATTATTTTAAGTTGTGGAAATGACAATTGATGCAAGCGCCATCTATGCGAGAGTGTAAATATCGGAGACGAACTAGAACCCGCTCTCTTTTCTTTTCTTGTCTTCACTTTCTTTCCTACCGGTTTATCTATGGTAGAATTCGAGAAAATTAGGTTTTGCTAATATATGTTTTGTTTTACTGTCAAGTATACAGGGTATCCGAGAATATATGGGAATCTCTCGGATTTATACAGGGGACGTAAAATAACATGATAAGTCCCTATAAAAATGTTCCCTAAAAGATACCCCTGAAACTCGATTTTTTTAAATAACTCAAAATACTTTGTGTAATTTAATTATTTTTTAATATGTTAGACGACAGATAAGACTTCTTAAAATTGACCCATGAAACAATTTGGCATATTTGGTTTGCCAGGGACAGAGACTAGCTGTAGGACAATAATGTAAATTTTTTCAAATAATAATATTTTTAGATAGTTTGAATCTTAAACTAAAATAGGCACTTGATATTGATAAAATGAACTGTTTTCGAGAAAAAACTGTTTTTGTTTAATATGATTTTTATTATATCCGTAAAGAGAAATAAACCGATAAAATTTGCATTCTTTCTGCGCCTGTCTAAAAAAATGCCACTTTTAGTTACAATTGTTTTTTCCTAAAAATAATTAAATTACACAAAGTATTTTAAAAGTTATTAAAAAAAAATCAATTTTCAGGGGCATCCTTTAGAGGCCTGTGTCTTCGTAGGGGGGCCCTCTAGGGAAAATTTTTATAGGAACTTGACATGCTATTTTAATGCTCCCTATATAAATTCGAGAGATTTCCACATATTCTGGGAAACCCCGTATATAACCTATTCAAACCACTTGCTGAAGTAGATTATTAAAAAATTTGAGTTTTCTAGTGCTAATATTTTCGCAGTTTTTGGATCATTGGTCATCAACTTGCATTTCTTAAGGGCGCCGTATTCTTTAAATAGTGTCTTCCACAAAGACAAATAATTTCAAACATTTAATAACTAAATAATCTAAAGCTTATCAAATAATAGGAATGCTATATCATGCCACCTGAGTATTTTCAATGACGCCGCAGTTAAACGAATAAACAGGTGCAAAAAACGATCAAACCATCAAGGTTTTAGGTACTGAAATCTACGAAAATACTTTTTTATACAGGGTGTCTCATAATTAGCTGCCAACCCTGAACAGGCCGATTCTATGATCAAAACTATGTAAAAAAGTTCATATGAACATGGGTCCGGAAATGCTTCCTAAGGGCACAGGGACCCATTGAAGAGGGAGGAATGGAAATCATTTTTTTGCAATATCTCTCAATCGCGTTGTGATAAATGAATGAAATTTGGTATACACAGCTAAATTTTGATGAGCAATTTGATGGACTAATCCATTTATTTCAAAGGTCAAAGGAGTTTGCCTGCCTTTCTAGTTTTGATTTTTAATGTTTGATGTGGGACTAAATTAATTAATTTATTTCAATTATCGGCTAAATATTTAATTCTTTCAACGAAACCTACCGAAATATGGTTTGTTAAGGATTGTAAAAAGCCGAAATCTCTTATTCTTTATCTCTTTCCAATGTAGTTAAAATAAATGCTTGTTATATCAAGCCATACTCAAATACAATACTTTTATAAGTTGAAATCTGTTTAATACACTAATTTTAACAATCCTTATTTATTATGTGCTGCATAAATACTAATGTACTGCAACCAAATTATAAAAAAAAACATTAAATGAACATTGATGTTAATGTTTATGGAGAAATTTCTTGAATTTATAACAATATTTAATTAACTACTTCTTAAAACTTTTTGGCAACTGCACATTAATGTATTGTATGCATGTAATGTAACAGATTTCAACTTACAAAAGTCTGTTCTTTCTAAAAACATGTGTTCTACCTCCTGTTACAAAGTTTGTCTACAAAAATGACTCACCCTGTATATACGGAGAAAGGGAGAGATACATACACCTATCCTGCACTTACTTATATTCAGCACCGTGCTATGAAATCGTTAGCTTCAAAGCTCTATATCTTTAAATCTACACATAGGATCTATTTAGGCCCATGACAACTTTTGCTCAGGAAGGTGAGAGCTATATCATATTTCAATTTCAGCCATTTTGACCGAAAGCCATTTTCCATAAGGTTTGTGCAAGGTCCATTTTTCTTTAAAAATTAATATCTCAAAATCTATAACTTCTAGGTACAGCGAATATTTAATAAAATGACCCTCAAATTTTATGTAGAATCAGAAAATGCAATAATATATAGGGTGTCCAATTTAACATAAGAAAGTTAAAGTCGACTTCCGGTATAACCGGAAGTGCCATAAAGTTCTAAATATTTTAGCTGTGTTGGCCATACTGCCTTTGCTAGTTTACCAAATTTTCAGATTTATCGGAGCAGTACTATCCGAGATATCGATGGTGGCGATTCCTGATGGGACACCCTGTATAATAAAGTTCATAGAGTACTTATTGAGTGTAGAGTGTATTTTTTGTGAAGTGAATATTTCAAAGCTGTCAAAATAAACAGACTTGCAGACACACCAGATGGAGCTTGTTACAAATTTCCGAGTTCTTTTACTAAATTATTATTTTATGTTTAGGTGGTAGCTGTTGCTGATGGATGCAGATATGATGAACTAGTGAATATGTGCAAAACACTTGCAAAACGGTTGAACAAACTACATTTAAATATGTTTCACCATAGACTCTCTTAGTGTGACGTCACATATTTAGGCAACCCGCAACAAATTGTCATAGTTGAAATTGTAGACCGAATCTGACCCTTGTGTACTATTTACATAATTGCTGCCAACCCTGAACAGGCCGATTCTATGATCAAAATTAAGTAAAAAGTTCATATGAACATGGGTCCTGAAATGCTTCCTAAGGGCACAGGGACCCATTGAAAAGGGAGGAATGGAAATCATTTTTTTGCAATATCTCTCAATCGCGTTGTGATAAATCAATGAAATTTGGTATACACAGCTAAATTTTGATGAGCAATTTGATGGACTAATCCATTTATTTCCACAAGGTCCATTGGGG